TATGTGTGTGTGGGTGTGGGTGTGTCTTTCTCTTTTTCTGCAAGAGTGTGCGTGCCTCTATTTCTGTCTCTCCCACTGTCTCTCTTTCCCTCTGTATTTATTTATGTCTTTCTGTCTCTTTCTCTCGATCTCCCTCTTTCTCTTTTTTTCTAACACCCAACCATACACACACACACACACACACACACACACACACAGACACACACACACACACACACAAACATACGTACACACACACACACACACACAGAGAGAGACACACACACGCATGACTGACAACTCATCAAACATCGCTAACTGTTAAACAAACCTCAGTAAAGCCAGCTGTTGTGAGGCAGATCTTGAAGCAATGCCGTAAAAATTGCTCAATGCCCTAAAGTTGCAGATACGCATTCTATGTCAAAATATTTTACTCAGAAATGTGTTAAAACTAATCACACATAACTTTCCAAAAAATCATCTTTAGTAAATCAAAGGCCACACAATATTAGTAAGAGAAAGAAAAATGAGACTATAGCTGTGTTTGTCGTTCATCAGATGTTCATCAAATTTTATTTCACACAAAGTGCAAGAAAGCAAACCTGGAATGAAGAAAACATTATTATCATCAGGATCAACAAATGTGTTATTGAAGCACGTTTCAAATATTCAACTGAAGCACGACATTTCAAATAGTTGACATCGACATGGCCAACAGATGAAGTATAGGACACTTCTTCGCTGATCAGACAAAGTAAGAACGTACTCTATTATTATTTAGAGGCTTTAGTCAGCAACAAAATTTTGTTAATGGCATCTGAAGGCACAGAGTATCTCAAATAAATCTATAGCTTAGTTTCCAAGCCAAGGTTTGTTATTGCATTTCGGTTTTGTTTTGATTTTTTTTCTTTTGTACAGTTTTTGGTCATCAAAAACTTTTGCGAAAACTATTGTTTGAGCAACATAGCAAAGACAAAAATTATCAAAACAACAAAAACAACAACAACAAAACAAAACAAATGGAAACACCCAGAAGGGCTACTTTCTTTCTAGAGTGTCGACGAAAAGTGTAATTAGGTCTGTGCTTTGCGAAGATACGTCGTTGTTGGGGATATGTTTTATGTACAATATGACGAAGTATAAAGTATAGTTGTCTTTTTTACATGATAGTGTGTATTGGATACATCACATTCACGAATTTAAAAAAGAGCAGCCCCTTCTCCATTCTTTCACCATCGCGCTCTCTCTTTCTTTCTTTCTCTCTCTCTCTCTCTCTCTCTCTCTCTGT